CACACAGTTGTGTATACCCACATACACACACACACACACACACACACACACACACACACATATATATATATATATATATATACATACGTAAAACCCATGCAACACTTAAAGTACTGACCCAAATATGGCTATTACTGACATGGAGAAGATGAGGTAGATGGTGTCCATTAAGAAATGGGGCATAATACGATGATTCAGCACATATTAATATAAGAGCTTAGGAATGAGGAACTGTCTAATCACCATTCAGGATCTGGTAACTTTTGAGAAATTCTAGAAGCCATAAAGACTATGTTTTACTTCATGTATGTAAAAATAAGCATTGTCACTGTGTTGAATCCCTGGATGATTTCTAACACAGTACATAGCATTAGCTGAAATTATTGCTTCTTCTTTGGGGTTTAGTGAATACCTTATACAGATGCAGGATCTGCCAGTGTAAGACCATGTTCACTGTAAGAACTATGCACCCCCTCCCCAGATCTTCCCTTGTAAAGATGCTTTCTTCCTTCAAGGGACCCCATCATTTGAGCAAGTAATGATATGATAATTTTGCATATTTAATAATAGTATACAACCAGTATTATGTTGAAAACCACTAGATATCTTGTTTACTTCTCACAACTCATAAGGCTGGTATTGTTAGCATCCCCATTTACAGATGACGGAACTGAGGCAATGAGACAAAAAGCAGTCCACTCTGTTGATATGCAATAGCTAGTTATATGAAAGCTAAATGTTAAGCCCAAATAAGACATTCTGAAGTTAGGTACTCTAAAGAGAAAAATAAAGGATAAAAGAATAAGCATACTATGACCCAGTTATTTTCACTAAGATATTAGTAGTAGTGGTGAGGAGTAAGAAACTTTTCCTACGAAGATACAGTGCACACACATCTGTTCACCTCAGAAAGAAAACCCACAACAGACCATAGTAACAAGTAGACCAAAGTTCAATTTGATCAACCAATGAGTTTTCATTGGGGTTCTAACAGGAATATGGGTGAAGATTTACTTACAGGAGCAGAGATAACTCAAAGGTGTAGGTAATACAAAACAAACAACAAAACATAACAAAGCAAAACACCACCACCGCTAACAACACAACAAAAACACTATGGGTGACAATACTCATTAAAGCACATCTTTGGAGTTCTCTGCTTAACTTGCACATCCTTGGCGCTCTCTGAAGAACTCTACGGGTCCAAGAAACCCTTTTCTGCCATTAACTAGCCAAAGGCTCTTTCTTCAGCAGTTGTTTACTGTTTTTATAAAGCAGGGCAGGGACTTTCAAATTTTTTTTAAATATCAAATTTCCCAGACATGTGACAACCTCCTGAGTCTTAACTCCTTCTGAAAGGGAAGTTTTGATTCCCAGGCAAGTCTGTTGGATTTGCAATATCTAATTACAAAGTGACAACCACTTAGGCAACAGGATGAGTTTCCAATAGCAGTATTTTAGACTTTGTTAAGAGCAAAAGAAGTAATAAATATTTAGGGTAAGGAAATGTTCTCTAAGCACCCCAGAAATCATAGTTTTGTTTATTCATAAGGTCATCCTTCATGTAAATTGAGGGAAACGGCTTCTTTTCCAGCTCATCCATAGTGATATGTCTCAATGCTGGTCTTATTTCTTTAATGGTGTCTGTTTTCCACTACTTTTCATACTGTTTTGTTGGAATTTAAGTGGAAACAGAGGACATGGAAAGACTAAAAGCTATGGAGCCTGGATACTTTTGTTGAAGTATTCCTTTGAGTGGTCCTGGAACCAGCTTGGGTTCACACTGATTTTCTGCCAGTTTTCAGCTAGAAGCTATGAGTTTGTTCCAAGGATAGTTGGTTCAAAGTCCAGCCACCTCAGAAAGTCTGAGAATGGAGATGATAGAGAGTGGGGTGGCTTGTCTTGCTTATGTGGTTGGGAATCATGCTGTGTTGGCCCTATAAAGATTCAAGAAACTATTTGAGACATGTACTCCATTCTTAGATAGAAAAATTAAACACAAACAAGGGAAAGTGGCTTGTGTAAGGTTATAGAGAATTGATACAGGGACTACCATTATGATTCATAGATACAATTCCAAAACTTTAGCACTCGTTTGTGAAAATAGCACACATTGGAAGGCAGAAAAACTATTTCTGAGTCTACCCTCCAGCTGAGCAGCTGTTGAATATAGATCAAATATTTTCATGCTATCTGTGGTTTCATTTTCATAATTTTCTCCCTAAAACCATTAAGAATGTTAGAAGAGTGAAAGAAATGAAGATACTGAAATAGTTCTATTGCATAAGAATTGGTGGAAGTTTGACCATAATATCTCTCACTTTCTTCGATATCCATTTTGCTCTGTCTCCTCTGTCTCCCCATATTCTGTTGAGTAGAGTAGTGGACTCCAGTGCCACATTACTCCAAAGACTACTGCAAAGAAGACTCAGAAAGCTAGTTATCCAGAGGAAAACTTCTCCCTGCAGTTGCCCTGCCACTGATGCCATTGAATGCCCAATTGGAAAAATCAATTCAAATTCTTTTGAGGCTAAATATTTCCAAAATTGTGTGTGTGTGTCTGTTTGCACACGGGTGTGTGTGCATGTGTGTGTGTGTGTGTGTGTGTGTGTGTATGTATGTGTGTGTGTGTGTGTGTGTGTGTGTGTGTGAATTTGAAAGATCTGCCAGCTTCTGTGAGAGTCATGGCAAATATTGTTTTGTAGGTCATTGTATGTTTCATTTGCCACAGAACACTGAGATTTGGAATAATTAGAGCCCAAGGGGCAAATGGCCCTGCTCCTGTCCTTTCCCCAAAGAGTTCCACTCTTTTCTGCCAGCTGCAGCTGTCTGCTTGTATGCACACATAGGCAAGGCCAGGGACTCATGCCCTAGACAGAAAGTCAATTAGTTTGAAATGAAATCTTTCTTAAAGGGTTCTTGTGTTTTAGGCAAAATTCAGGAACTAATCCTTACATGCTATAAGGATCATGGATAAGTAACATCTGAGGGAAGAACAATCGAGGTTAGAGCAACTTATCCAGAGAAGTAGAAAACCTAGTTTTGAGGCAGATCATTGACTAAAAGTGCAGTTCTCTGGGTATTTTAGGACACATTAAGACAACATAGTTCTCATGGTCTGTCAGTTTGGTGTTTTGGTTTTAACTAAATGAGACTTTTCTTGCTGTAGGTTTGAAGTAATTGGCACTTTTCTTGATAGTGGATAGGAAGGAATTTCAGAATCAGATTCCGGTCAGTATGCTGGTGCTGCCAAATTTCAAGTTATGTGACCTTGGACAGATAAATTAACTTTTTGTGGTATATGTATCAAACGTGATGGCAAGCACTCTAGCACTGACCTATGCTCCAAACCCAGGTGATTAAATTTCTTTATTCTTGATTTCTTCGTTTATAAAATTGGCATTTGATCACATATACATGAGCATATTATTGATGAAAACCAAGGAAATAATGTACTTAAAAACACCATGTGCATAATGTACACATAGGACTCAATAAACATTAACTATTGTTATATTATAATGATGACAGATAATGTTATTCTTACCCTTTATCATTTTTACTGCATCTTGAGAATGTCAGTTTGTTTTTAATGATTATGGTGCTGTATAATTTATCCACATAACATGGACTTTAATTCCCTATAGTTTTTACTGGTAAAATTACCCCACCCTCTGAACCACTCTCTAATGAAACCCACAGCTCCTCTGATTTCACCTCTTCTACCATCCTGTGGCAAGCACTCTCTACACATCATTATTCTTTTTTGTGTGTGCATTGTGTGTCTGCATGTGTGTATGATAAAGAGAGCAAGAGAGAGAGAGATGAAGAGAGAGATACAGAGAGACAGATGCAGACAAGTAGATCAAGAGCATGCTACTCATGCAATACAGAATATAGTAAAGGAAACCCATTAAAAAATTTCCAGAGATCATTCACTTTAAGTAAACTCACTGAGTGAATTAACGTTTCTGCTATATGGCAACTGTATGCTAGACTCAGTCAAATAGAGATACATGAAATAGACTAAGTTTTCAATAAATAATACATACACATCCGTACACATACACATACACTGATAGAAGGTGAAAATCAGTTTCAGGACACCAGGATTTGAGTCTTCTTTTCACCATTTACTAGTTTTAATACTTCAGGTAAGTCAGTGTCATGATAAGTTTCTCTCCAACATAAAAGAAAGGTAAGACTCTAAACTGCTTGACTCATAGATGGTTATGAATATCACTTTTTAATAATATAGCCTCTTTGTAATGGTTTGCCAGGTGACCATAATCTACAGACACATATTCCAGAGATATTCACTGTCCAGATTGTGTGCTTTAGGCATCAGATACCTTGAGCGGTCCAGAGCACTGGCTGAATCATTGCACAAATTTGTGGGAACAAGCAGATGAGAGTTGAAACTTTATATGCAAGGAATTCAGCAGGTAGAAAACAGTGAAGGAAGAAGACTGCCTTCGTGGAGGAACTGACAATAAGTAACAACCACAGATACCACAGGAAATTAATGCAAAGTATGAAAAATCTATACAGGGCATGACAAGGTATAATGTTCCCAGGGTAGTTACAGTAGGCAATAGATGGTTCTTTTGAAAGTCTAAAAGAAGACTAAACAGTGGTAGTATTGGTTTCTTTTTAGGTAAGTCCATATCTTATCTAGGCTGTACCAAGTATAAGTTCAATCAAGGCAAAGCCTTGTTCTCTCATTTCTCCAGTCCTTATGATAGTGCTTGGCACATAGGAAGTGTTCAATAAAATCTTGAGAAAAGAACAGTTGGTCAGCTGTAAATCTTCTGTAGCTGTCTAAATACTACCTACTATCATTAACCTCTGGAGCAAGGATTGTGTTTTAACTCCCTCTGTATAGTACAGCACCATCCTCTGTTTGAATTATGAAATTCTTTGCAATTTTGCCAATGCTTGATGTGTTTTTTTCTGTTTGTCTATTTCTTTGTTTGTTTTCCTCCTCCACTCTGTTCCAGAAGATTCTTTACCACTGGTGAACAATAAGGTAGCCAGCAAGTCTTGTGAATACAATGGAACCACTTACCAACATGGAGAACTGTTCATGGCTGAAGGGCTCTTTCAAAACCGGCAACCCAATCAGTGCACCCAGTGTAGCTGCTCGGTAAGACCCTGCTGCATCTTAATGCCCTTGCTGGTCAATACCCAGATAGGAAAGTCACCACCTCTGCATTTCTGCTGCCAGTGAAGCTGACACTATAAAGTGTTTGAACAAAGATGTGTCGTATTTGAATCTTAAGCCTCCCTGCCTATCCAAACTACCTGATCTTAAGCAAGTTTGAACAGCTGCCAAAGAGCTCCAAATCAGTTGTATCCAAGGCTTATAGCCACAAGAACGTGAAAAAGGCAAAGATGAGCTCTTTGACTTAATCAGCACATACATTCCCTGAATATTTACACCAACCAACCTTTCACCTGAAGGATTCATAGTTATTGAAGTCCTGGTAATGTCATAAGTAGAACACTTAGTAGGACCACTTGATCCAATTTATAAGAAAATGTGGCATACATTTGTTTTTATCCTATTTCTAGCCATTTCACGAGTGGACCACATCTCTATTCCTCTCATCTTATTACTAACAGGCAGTCACTCCCAATTTTCTACAATGAAAAAATTATGTTAATGTCTGATAATAACAATTCCCATGGCACTATTAGTTACTATGAATACTTTATAAAGTCTAGCATCTATATCCTTACCTAATGGTGCAGTACAGAACAATGAAATAGAGTGAAAATATATATATAGAATGAAGCATGAGAGGAGCAATCAATGGCTTTTTAGGGAGACAAAGTTAGCTAGTGGCTTCTAGGGGTAGGGAACAACAGTTTTCTTTAAGGCTGTAGGTCCTCATATGTGACTCATTCTCCATTGGATGGCCCCTCATGCCCATGAGTGGTAAAAATGGACTCAGTGATTTACAGAAAGAAAAAAATGGAAGAGAAAGAAAGAAAGAAAGAAAGAAAGAAAGAAAGAAAGAAAGAAAGA